CAATGTGACTTTTTCTCTCGAATTATGTCCTACATAGTGTTTCAATTCAGCAAGAAAATGTCAGATTAAAAAAAAAAAAATGGACAGGCAAAAAGAACATTTGTCATCTAAATCATTTTTATTTCTGTGACACGTGATGTCAATTAATCAAGGGGATTAACTGTTAACCGTATGTTTTTCAAGATATATGTGTTATGGAACCGCGTGTTCGATTGGGTCATAACTGGTTTGAAAATGGATAGTTGCTTTGGCATAATAAGGGAATAACCTGTATGCTAAATAAATTTCTGTATAATCCGTTCACTACTTTCATTAGCGCCACCTGTTTCATCATTTAATGTTTCATTTAACACTATCGTCAGAATAACAAATACGTATGAATCTAGATTAGGAAGAATCTAGATTAGGAAGCTACTTAAATATAATAACTCCTTAAAACGCCTTACTCAGTAATATTAAATTGCGCGTTTCGGGAAGAACGAGCTTCCCCTCATCAGGCAGCTAAGAATGCTCATTCCTCTCGAAATTTTAAGTTTTACTCTTTTGTATATGGTGTTTTGAAAGTTATTAGAAATAACCATGTTTCACACTAGATTCAATTCTTCAGTTCAGTGATTCTAAAGCCAAAAATCAAATAAAAATTAAATTAAAAAAAGATTTAAATATGCAAAACGTTTTAAAAAAATTAAAAATAAAATTTGAATTTTTAAGAAAAAAATTGCTAATTATTTTGTTCTTGGGACATAGATGTAGGGCTACTTATTTTTATTATTTAAGAATCTTACAAAATAGAAAAGAGATTTAAAAAAAAAAAATTTTTTTTTAAATTTTAAAATACCAGACCCTTTTAACAGTAACTGTTACAGAGTTAATGGTTTGAACAAATCCAGTTCATGTAAGATTGCAGTTTTGAAATTTTAATTATTGAAATTTTAAAATGTTATAAAGTTTTGATTCATAAAATTCTTTTGTTTCATAAAATATTGTCTTAGGTTACAAAATAAAATTAGTGGAATCAAACTTTTTTCATTAGTTGTCAAATGCGATTCACTACGAAATTATGAAAAATCTTTTTTTTTAATTTTTTCCGCGCAGTATAAGCGAACTATCTTAAATACTTTTGTCTGGCGCAGTTTTTGAAAATTTTTTTCAAAATTTTAAATTAATTATTTTGAATTATAAATTGCTCCGAAAATTTTGTTTAATTCCATTAAATATTTATTAAACTACAGCAAAGTAGAATAAAACAAAAAAAAAAAGAAATTATTTTTTATAAAAATGGTAACAGAAATGGATTAATATGGTAATAAAATGGTAAAATGGATCAATATCTTTATTAATATTTACTCTAGGTTTACGACATTTTATGTAGTTATCAAAAATAACAACATAAGTAATCGATACAAGTAATCGATACAAGTTACAAACTTGTTGTTCTATTTTTTACATAGGGTGTTCAAAAATGCTTGTTTTTTTTCGTAATTTATTGTTAGTTTCCCAAACCTTTGAAGGCTTTAAATCTTATTACTAAGTATGAAAAATCGCACGATCTCTGAAGTTATAAAATTAACCATTACGTATTTCTTGAGGAATTTAAATAAATTGTCTTGCAATTATTTTTCAAAGTACAAGAAATGAAAAAAAGCAGCACTTATACTATTTTATAACTAAGAACTCAGGTAAGAAAACTTTGAAATATTAAAGAATACTTCGGACTTTTATCAAGGCCACTTCAGTAAATCTTAGATTTTACCAGTCAAACCCAGGATTTACATGGATTCGAGCATTTACAGTAACACGTACTACCGTATATCCATTAATATAATGGAATTTCTAAATAGCGGAATGCATGCTAAGATATTGAAATGCATTTGAATACATTTTCTGCAATTCATTTGTTAATAAGTGGTATGAATTTGGCAACCCATTATAAGGCTGCGCACTGGAACAGATGCCCTCTGTTGTCTCCCACCCCAACCTCTAGCTACGCCATTGGATATATAATATATATTGCTTCTAGATTTATGGATAAAAATATATATTTTTTTATTTTCATCCATAAAATTTACATATGTAATTTTAAAATGTACCCTTTTCATTATTGATGAATGCTTGCATCCTTCTTATGCAGAGCCGGATTATAGCTTTCGTAGGCCCTAGGCATAGCCGTTTTTGGGCCCTCCCGTTTTTGGGCCCTCCCCTTCTTCCCCCACTCCTCCCCTCTTTTCAAAATATATGCTAAAATTTTCTTGCATATTTTTTTTTTACATTTTTATTAATATGGATTTTAATTAATAAATTTGCTTATCGAACTTTATCTGCAATACCGACATACTGCCGATATTGCAGTTGATATCGATAATACCATTATGATTAGNAAATTTAATTTTTTTTGTATTTTTTCCAATAAAAAAAAAATCTGCTTATTTATTGACATTAAGGCGGAACAAAGTTCGCCGGGTCAGCTAGTAGCTTCATAGTTTTAATTTTTTTTCTCCAAAGTTTTTCGTAGGCCCCTGAATTTCGTAGGCCCTAGGCACGTGCCTAGTGTGCCTATAGGTTAATCCGGCCCTGTTCTTATGTAGTTAGCGTATGATTATACATCCCCACATTGTGCAAATATTGTACCTGAAATGAATACCATTTTATAAATCTAATTTCCTGGTAACGATAATTACTATGATTTCCAATATACAAGTGCGAAGCTACCAGATTTAAGGATAAAAATATATTTTTTATTTTCATCTATGTATTAAACTTAGATATGAATGTTTAAAATATACTCTTTTCATTGTTGATGAATGCTTGCATTCTTCTTATAGAGTTAACGTATGATTATGCATCCCCACATTCTGCAAATAGTATCTGAGATAAATGCCATTTTATAAATCTAATTTCCTGGCAACGATAATTACTGTGAAGCATCATTTCCGATTTACAGGTGCAAAATTGAAGAGCTTAATTTCCGGTGATTCCTTAAAAATTATAAGAAATATAAGCTACTATGAATTAATAGGGTAAAAGTGTTGAAATGTATCATAACCATAATTTTCCCCTACCTCTCCAAAATTACAAAATGTAGTAGCGTAGTTCCGGTAAAATCACGTCACAGCAACGTTACAACGGGTTAATTTGTAATAAAGAAAATAGTTTCTGGACATCGAATTAATTTTTTTCTTTCCATCGTCGGTGGCAACGCCTTTTTTAATCTCCCCTTAACAACACCCACACGGTTTTAACCCACCTGTAAAAAGTTATTAGAACATTTTCAGGAATGTAATTAATAACATCTTTTTGTTTGGATTCAGGTATCCGAGACGCTTCGAACAAAATCCTCTCGATTCAATTAAAATGGAACCTTTTTTTCTTCCTTCCCCTAGTCCATCCCTTTTAGTTTCGGAGCCCTATTTTTATTTTTTATTTTGTTTTAATATCAGCTACTTGGATTTCATTAATATCGTCTCGTGTCGGGCTACCGTCGGAAACCAGATATTTCAAAAGTTTCCTTCCTGGGAATTTTATAAAAAAGTTTTTGTAGGAGGAGAGGGCAACAATAAAAAAGCAGACGACACCCGCTGAGGAAAATGCCACTAATGAAAGTGATGGATGACAGCCCCCCCTCTTATTCCAGGATATATTTTAGGACATGCAATGGATTGTGAGGGGAGGGGGGGGTAGTGATAAAAAGAAGTATGATCTAACATGTATTCATACGCTTTCCGGTTGAGTGATGAGGCTTATTGCTGTCTATTTGTTAGCGTTATTTGAGACTACATTCATATCGTGTAAAGATAAATAGCTTTTGATCTTTCTTTTGTTGGAAAAAAAAGAGAAAAAGAAAGCAATCTCAACTATTTTTCGTATTAATTTTGTTTAAAAATTAATTAAATATATTATTAGTTAGCGATATTATTTAGTTAAGACTTGGTGATTATGATTTTAGTACATTATAAGCCACTTCATTTAAATTCAGATTCAATAGTTATCTTTTTTTTTTATTCAAAGATTCCATGAAATTTTGATTCATTGTTTTCTTATTTAAAATAATTACACTCATAGCAAAATATATATTAAAACATATAAGCTACACTTATCTTAAAGAGTACATTTTTACATCAAACTGTTCCTCATTGTTTTCAAATAAGTTCTTTACATGTTGTCAAAACTTTAACTAGATGGCAGCCTAATTCACTAACATATAATAACGAATATAATTTAGAAGCATATAATATAGAAACATTCAGTTACATACCTGCAAATAGTTGTGTTTTTCAGCAAAAATGTTATCTTAAACAATTTGAAAATGTGGCTTATCATTTAATTGGTCCAAACCATTTAAATAAAGAGCTTAAGAAGAAATTATGACTTTCTTAAATAGACTTCCTTTTACAGGTTTTAAAACACTTCATTGGCAACTTAAATAATGTATGAAATTTAACACTGTTAGCCAAAGCTATATTGTATATGAATAACTTCACTTTTCAGGCCACTATGTAAGACTGTTTTTAATGGGAAAATGTTATTTGTTACTTTTTGCTGATCTATATTCGAAGGCTTTAGTTTTTATATTCACTAAAATATATCTTAGAATGTTTCTTCAATTGACCTCTTTAATTACAGAAGGGATAGAATGTAAACTAGTAATATCTAATTTCTTACACTCTTGTTTTTTCTTTCTATTTTATTCATTTATTATTATTATTTATTTATTTCGATATTTTTGACATCAAGTAAAGTACAAGTTTCTAAAAAGATTATTTCTAGAGGGAAAAAAATGATTTTGGTCAGTTATGCCTTGTTACTTCTTTTGATTTTATTAGTATTGCTCAATATTGTTAAAAGCAAAATAGTTAGATTTTAAATAATGCAGTTATTCTCATTTTGATTCAGTTGACTTTTAACTTTTTTTTCAGCTCGAGAAAAATACAATTTAAAAATTTCTGGATTGCCTTTGAATAATGCTTTGTATAGGTTGTGTGATAAGGATGGTGTGTCGTAATTTCGAACTATTAGTATTACAGACGTATATGTCTTATCATTATTTGGAACATATGGTGTGTTTTCGTGAGTGGGGCACTCATTTATCGCATTGCATAGAATTCAAACATATGGGAAACCGGTAGATACTAAAAGGTAAGTAATGGAATCACTGTAATATTCACTTTATATCCTTATAATATGTATATTTATTAAATTATTAAACAGACATAGATCTTTAATAAATAAGTTATATATAGAATAAAATTTTTCTAGAAAGGATAATCAAGCAATTTGAATTATATTTCAAATAAATGAAGAAAAAAAAAACGACCTAAAATCAAATAGTCAAATAGTCTGGATTGCCTTTAATTTTTCAAAATTGTAACACATATTTTTTTTAATTGTTTCGATTAATCTGTTTAACTCTGTGAGTTCTGATTCAAAAATTTTTAGTAATATTTTGCACAGGTCTAAACTTTAAACTCGAACAAATTGAGCTATCACATTAAATTTTTAATTCTCTCTGTCAGAAGCAATTCTTAAAAATCGTTGCAAAATTTTTTTTAATGCAAAAATACTTCAATCATTTTTTCTAAGCAGAAAGACTTATTTTAAGCATTTACACTGTTAAATCAATGTAACACTTAAAATAATTTTTTTAAGAAATAGTTTCTTCAGGTTAATAAATAAAATTAAGAGAATAAAGTTTCAATTGAACGATAATTTGATATTCTTTTGATCAAGTAACAGGTACGTTCGTTTTTCCCCCTTTGAAACCTTCCCTGTTGGAATTTTCATTCTAAAATTACAGTAAAATAACCGGAAACAGTCTGTCCATCCTATAAACCGTGAAGTTTACGGTTAATAACATTTGTTACCTTTACGGATTTGAAACCGTTTACTACTAGTATGGTTAAAAACAATCAATTCAAAACTATATGGATTTTAACCATTCTTAACTAGCGTGATTTCAAAACTGCATAAAAATAATTTAAATAGTACATTGAATCTAAGCTCTTCGTTAGATAATTGGCATTGGAGTTAGGTTTTGATTAAGTTGTGTTTTATTAAAAGAACGGTGGAATGTGGTTTATTCAGTTTATCTAGTTATTTCACCTATCGTAAGAGATAGAAAACTCTAAAATTTTTGTGTTAAGCAACTTTACGGTGCAGCCATCTATGCGTCAATTGGAGTATCGTATTCTAATGGTCCAAGATCACAAATTGGTGAGTGCAGGACATTGGAAACTCTTCATGTATTGAAGGGAATGGAGGAAATATTGTAGTGTCAACGATGGGATTCGTACCCCAGTTCTGTTGATTGACAGATTTGCCCTCTTGGCTATAATATGTACCCAGGAAGAACCTCGAGAAGTAACCCTAATGCAAAAACGCAATAATAAGAATAATAAATAAAAAACAACAATTTAATTTTAATATTTTGTGAGATTCCATAGAAGGTATATATATTCTTACCATAGTGTTTACTGAAACATTTGCAGATTATAAATAAATCAATTCATAAATAACTTTTCAAAATTTATCCTTAAACATTAAGGTTGCTCTTAATTCGAACCTCTTTCGGTCAATAAATAAATAAATAAATAAATAAATAAATAAATAAATAAATAAATAAATAAACGAATCAAAAATTCTAAGTTTGAAGGCTTTTAAACAAGAAACAAAACTGGAATTTTAAACTACACTCACGAATCTGCATGGATTATTAGCTTCAATGTTTTTGAAATTTCTTTACTCAGTAACGAATAGTCAGCCTATTTTCCTTCAAATTTTATATACAGTATTTTGTCACTTGAAATTACATAGCTAAAAATAAGACATGTTAAAACAATTCAAAAACAATTTTTTAAATTAAATAATGAAATATTTAAATTAGTTTTGAGTAATTAATGGTTAAAAAGCTTTTTGATATAAAATTTCTTCGGTAAAAAACGATGTTTTAAAAATTGATATATTTGATGAGTGTTAAGTTATTTTGATTCATTAAAGAGAAATTCTCGAGGTATGGTGAAAAGTAAAATTAGGCCTAAAATTATCCTATTTTTCAGATAGTGATCCCCCTCCCTAATATTTTAATAGTCAAGAATTCGAGCTCCTTTGTATCTGATTCCTAACTTCATAAATAGTCTGCACTATTTAATGATTATATTTGAGCTCAAAATACCATAATGTAAACCATAAAAGATGTAAGTAATTTACATCAAATTATTTTTTAAAAAATTACCTAAAGTAAAACTTAAGATTCCTGGTGTTTTTTTGTCAATTTTATTATTTATATAAGATATATGAATTAATACAAATATAATTTTTTGATAACTATAGTACACTTTCGCAAAATTATACTATACTTCCAACGTTGACACACAAGTAACTTATGAAACAACCATAATACAGCTATTATAAATCCATTGTTTTGATTCAGTTTGACCATTAAGATGGTAAAGAAAATTACAATGTAAATTCTTTGATTTCGACTAGTTAAATTCTGGTTTATGTGAATCATAATAAATTAAATTCAACTGCGTTTATAGGGAAACATTGGCGTGATTTACTGCTTCTGCCCATTGTTTTGAAAAACATAGTTGCAATTTAAAATTAAATTTATTATTCAGTATATTTCATCCTAACAAAATGTTATGTTTTTTCTGTAGACCATGAATAACGTCATTCTGCCTTTCTTGATGTCCATGCTGCTGGGCGGGACGATTGACCTCAGGTCATATGACATCAGTGGTGTCAATGTCTATGACGATGATGCCTATGACGAAGTAAGGCACAAATTGAAATATAAAAGATTTTAGGCATGCTCAAATAATGTTTTTATGCTTAAAAACGTCGTGTTTATATATATCTCTGTGTGTCATATTCAACTAGTGTTTAATAACTTCATGTAATCATTGAATGTGTTTAGATTAGCTCTACACTGTGGGAAAATATCTCTTCGAATTTAATGTTGAACTACCCCCAAAAAATGTGTAAAGTAAAATTTTATTTCCATTTAGTACCAAATAGTGAAAAAAAAACCCAGAAAATGTGAATAGCACCAAAAATGAAAAAAAGATTTTTCCAAGCTCGTGAACAATGAGCAAAAAAAAGAAAAAAAATGGATTACCTTGAATAACTTTTGATTTAATGGTGGGCTCCTCACATTCTAATGGTCGAAAAAATTTAAATTGTAATGTATACAATCTTTTGCATCATTTTAAATAATGTAATTTTTCATAGCAAAATACAAGATTTCATGTCCTAGAGTTCGTGGGTTCGATCCCAGCCGGCCGAAGACTCCCCGTGTAGTAAATGGTGACTGATGCACGTTCAGTCAGTTGAGTCGCAAAATCCTCCATGTTCCCATAACAAATCAATACCTCTGGGGGTACTGATCCAGGAGTTTTCTTGTCTTCTGCACTTGTTCAAAATTACAAGACTACGGAGTTACGGACATCAGTAGTCGTAAACCCAAAATTGGGTCGGTTGTTCAACGAAGGACATGAAAATACAAGATTTGAGCAAAATCGGTGAAAAAGTTCCTGCTAAAATTTAATTTAAAAAAAAGTCAGGTATTTAAAATTCGGATTCTCAGGAACTATTTGACCGAGTTAGCTCAAATTTTGTATTATGTCATGCAAATTTATATTTTTTTAAATGTATTCTTTTAAACAATAAAATATAATAAATATTCACCAAAAGTTATTTTTGCATGGTATCATCTTAGGACTTATAATTGCGTGAGCAAATTTTGAATTCGCTTAAAACGTTCCCGAAATGTAGCGAAATACGCAAAAAGTAAAATTAAAATTAAGGATTCCAAACTTTGGAGCGCTCTCCTGACCAAACTATTGGGACCATATTTCCCAGATTGCGGTTACCCCTATATTTTAGGGGGTCAGAAATCCGTATATAATTTAACGGATCCCAATAGTTTGTCTTCTCCAATTATATAATTTAACTGATAAGTTTAATTATAAGAACATCTGGATAACGAAAAAGGGCCATTGATGTATCATTCTTTTAAATTTTCCCATTTTTCCTTTCCAATTATATAATTTAACAAGCACGATTCATTGGAAAGAAATCTGGTAAACAATAAAGATCCATTGATGCATCATTGTTTAAAACTTTCCAATAATATAATTTAACTAGCAAGATTTATTGGAAAGAAATCTGGAAAACATAAAACACCCATTGATGCAACATTGCTTTAAATATTCCAATTCCTCCTTTCTAATTATATAATTTAACAAATACGATTCATTGGAAAGAAATTTGGTAAATATTCTGGAAATCTGGTAAGGACCCATTCATGCATCATTATTTAAAACTTTCCAATAATATAATTTAACTTATGAAGTTTATTCGAAAGAAATCTGGAAAACATAAAAGACCCATTGATGCAACATTGTTTTAAATATTCCAATTTTTCCTTTCCAATTATATAATTTAACAAACACGATTCATTGGAAAGAAATCTGGTAAACATTAAAGACCCATTGATGTATCATATTTTAAAACTTTCCAATAATATAATTTAACTGACAAGATTTATTCGAAAGAAATCTGGAAAACATGAAAGACCCATTGATGCAAAAAGTTTCCAATTATATAATTTAACAAACACGATTCATTGGAAAGAAATCTGGTAAACAATTAAGTCCCATTGATGTATCATTGTTTAAAACTTTCCAATAATATAATTTAGGTAACAAGATTTATTGGAAAGAAATCTGTAAAACATAAAAGACCCATTGGATAAGGAGGGTTGTCCGAAAACCATTTTAACAGTACTTATCCAGCGCTTTCGGACAGCGGCCGAACTCATTCATTTTGCCAGATTGGAGACTAAATCTTATTGCCAGGGCGTCTCCGGCAAATAAGTTTCGACTCAGAGCAGTTTCGGAATGTCGGGAGCAATATCTCATCTTTCTCGGTAGAACTTTGCAATTAAATCCGGCTCTCAACCCTTTTCCTTTGCCTCTTCATTCCAAACTAATCCTCAATCCCATCATTAAGGCGAATGCTGCTCAAACACACATCCCCCCCATATTTCAGTTCCCCCCTTCACCCACCCCCACACACCCACGCGCCAGTAATTGACTGGACATCAGTCCAGCAGCGCCCTTCCACAACACACTGGTCACTCGTTGAATTGACCAGTGCTCTCGTCTAATTAGCATAAAGCAGTATCTCATCTTACTGCGGTGGGCATTAATGTGAGGATTTTATTTAATAGAGGGCGCTGTGGTTTTAGTTTCAGTTGTAGCTGAATACAATCTTCCTTTTGACCGATGTCGTGATTTAGAAGGATCAGTCTTTTAGACATAATTAATATTTCAATGTGCTTTATTAGTGTAATTTCATTTTAGACTCTTAAAACGAAAGTTTGAGATTCTGGGATAATGATTGCACAAAGGAGCAATTTAGGAGAAACATATTTCTAACTTATGGCCGTATTAAATGTCCTCTTGCTAGAAAATCCGACGTCATTCGTGAATAAAGGATTATATTTTGAGCAAAAGGATTATTAGAAAGGGCTTTCTAATATTTTTAATCTTTATTTAATTAAAACTCCGTTAGAATTCGCGTTTCCCAGGTGGATTCAGAGTTAAAAGTCTCAAGTTGCCTTTTGGGTGCCTCCTACCTCCTACTAGTGTCTCACGGGAAAATAATTGCGACCAACAATTTAATTGGAAATAAAAGATAAAGTATTGTTGCTTGTTACGTCTATTCTCTTGATATTATTTGTTTCGAAATTCATTCGCCGGAAGTTTAATTACAGACAAATAGTCCCACAGCAATACGTTCGTACAAAAATAAAATTTTTAAAATTATTAAAATGTAATTATTGCAGATAAAGTACTAAATTCCGTTTTAATTCCATACTACTGAAAACGTAGTACATTTGAAAACAGTCATTATTCATGAAAACAGACATTTACAAACGATACAACAGATATAATAATAAAAATAAAATATTTCTTACCTTTCAACTCAAATGATCTCACTTTTAGTAAATTGAAATGCGATTGAGATTTTGATACATGAAGAAATTTTAATATTTTCTTTAAATAATTCTATTCTTAGACAATAGGAGACTGATTCTACCAACCAGTGATTATACAAATTTGGTAAGAACGCTCTGTAGTTGATAACTATGTCTTTCTTTACCTTAATCGTTTTATTGAGGGGAATTAATTATCGACTATGTCAACCATACCCTCCAACTGCTACGGAATTTTCGTAGTTTCAGAAATCTTCTTTTCAGACGGTAGCAAAATTAATGTCTTAATATTTTAAAAAAATTAATTTTAGCGTAACTTGTCCACTATTACTTATAAAAGTGCATGCCATATGGCTAGATTCTTAAGTTCTGATAAAAGTTTTATGAGAGATCCATTTGCTTTAAAAATTTCTACTTTGGTTCGCTACCACTAGAAATAATTACTTTCAAAATCCTCATAAGTTGGAGGGTATGTTTATCTATCAAAAGGTACTTCGAAATCGAATCAAGTTAACGCGTCTTATGTACTAGTAAATTGGTATTTAATATTTATGGTCAGGGCTCGAAAAAGCTCAGAAATTTTACCCGTCCCCGAGGACGGCTTGTCCAACAATGTACCCATCCTCCTTTGAAACTAACCCGTCGCTTCTAAATAAATAAAAATATAATTTTCTATTATTTATTACAAACATTTATATAAATTGCACAATGAATTAGTAGTTACTAGGATTACAAATACTAGGATTACATTATACAGTAATAAAAGAAATACTAGGTTACTAATAGTAAAACCTAGTATTTCTATTATGAAATAATTTATTTCTTTGATGAAATAATTTAAATAACAAAGGTTAAGTTATCTGTCAATTATCATTTCAATTTATCCGATGGTACTGCGTTTTTTAAATGAATCAAATATGACGTTTGCCAGTTCCACAATCAAGCCAATGATTTACAGAGGTTTCTGCACAGAAATCTGAAAGAGGTTTTCCATTTAGATAGATGTTCATAAATGCGTTTAACGCTTCTTGTTTAAGACCAGTACGTAATGTGTTTTTTTGTAAGTTCATTGCTGAAGAGCCCCTTTCAACCGCTGCAGTATTCCCAGACAGAGAAAACATCCATTCCACCATGCGCAGTATGTTGCTGTATTTCGAGATTAGAGGGTCATTTTAGATGTGAGGTGCTAGACTCTTGTAAGATAACAAAATTTGAAAATGTATCACGAACATTAACGGGAAAATGGCCGTCCGCGCGGACGCTGGATTCCAGAAATTTGTTGACCGCGGGGAATTTTTGACCGCCGAGGACGGGCGATTTTTCGAGCCCTGTTTATGGTGGTAATTACGCCATATTGCTCCCCTTCCAGAATTTTTAACTGTGATAGAATTCAATGAACAAATGCCACTAGTTGATTTATACTGTTTTATTTATTTATTTACTTATATCATTTTTGCTCATAATATTTTTTCTTAATTTTTTGTTCATTTACATAATTTTTCTATTTATTTTTTTGTTTATTTGCCGAAAAACTTTTATTTACTTCACCAGATTTTTTTCTTCTTCTTTTCTTTGAGCAGTTTATTATTTTTTTAAAGCAAATCAACTGTTTAATGTTGCCCATCCATCAATGTTGGCAAGTTCATATCACGTCCCGCTCTCACCATTGTGGGGAATTATAAATCGACTATGCCAACCTTCATCTATCAAAAGGTACCTCTTGATAGAATCAAGTTAACATGTCTTATATACTAGTGAATTGGTATTTAATAT